TATTCACTCATCAGACAATTGGTTAAGTTGATATATATAGCCCTACATTAGCATTGGATACTAAAAAAAATTGAATCTATGGATGATGTGGTTATTGTAAAAACTTACATACCAAAAACATTTCAATAATATTTAACATTGATATTCTTTTTGAACATTTTTTTAAACTCTTTTAAGATTCTTAATGATATATTATATACTTGACCTTTAACAAAAAAAAAAATCCTCCTTGACAGTTAATTTTTGTCGTATTAATTCACATTAAAACAAAATAATTGTTTCATAATGCGTAATTTTATCGCAATGATTCATACTGGCATTTTGATTTGAATGCTTTAAAATAAAATTTATTCTAGCATTCAATAAAAAATATTACAAAACTTTTCACCTAACCGCGATGACGTTGTTTAATATTTATGATGGTGTATATATATGCRTTCTTAATATAAATATACCTATATAGTATACAATCTGTCGAGCTCACACAAGCCCAAATGCACCAACTAGATTCATGTTCCAACCAGAAAAGCTACTGAAGTTGAAAATTGAAGCACTATTTCGACAACTTATCGTGTACACAGACACAAAAAAAAACACACATACACATCATTGCAAAATCAATGCATTCATGGCTCCGCTCAGAGTTTTAAATATTTGTTCGTTTAAAAAGCTCAAACATTTACTCTTAATTTACTAGCCTAATTTAACCTGGCATAGTGATATATTTAAATCTCAATATAACTAACACGTTAAATGAATGATTGAGRTTGAGATTGATAGTGACAGTGATTTAGCAAAACAATACAAAGATGTGAAGTGGACAATTTAATACTATGATACAACAAAATATACAAACAAATTTAAAAAAAAACTGTATTTATATCGTTCTACGACCTACGGAGACCATCATCCAAATGTATCCTTGTTTTTATTATAATTTTAAGCTTCTATAATACGAGTATTTACAAATATAAAAGKATTATACTTATTAGCTATTGTCTATTACCAAGAAGGGAAGGATGTATATAAATATTCAACAACATACCTAGATATGTTCTATATATTTCAATTTGTGTAAAAGTCTACAGGACACATGGACGTGATTATAGTTGAACAGCTACGATATATCATTTAAAAATATCTATTTTTTTTTTTTTTTACTTACGTCTATTACATAATGATAAAATTCGTTGTGCATTGTCGTCGCTAGGCTTGTGTTTTGATTATTTTAGCTTATTCCACCACCTTACTTAATTATWAATAATTTACGCTCATACAATTTAATTAATCAACGACTATTACAATCGTGTAATTACTGACTATTACGGACTGATATCCATTTATATTTAAAAAAAATAAATGTTCACTAATGTTTCAGTCGACATAGATCCAATGTACCGTGCAGTTTTATTTCACGTTAAAGTGATAATTATTATTAGCTTTTAAATAATGTAATATGTTCCTTATTCTTTGCGAGTGAATATCTTATACATCATTATAATCGATTAGAGTTCAACCACTGCATTAAAATTAGAAGTATTAAAAACAATAAAAACTGCTATATCTTTTGAACGTTTAAAAAATGTGTTTATCATCAACATTGGATACAACAATCTAAAAAACATTATAAAAAGGTAAAATTATTTTATACGTACCTAGAGGATATTCTCGTTAATTAATGAACCGATTCAAAATATTCTTTTATTGATAGAAAGCTACTATAGAACTTGGAAACTATTGAACAAATTAACATTAAAAATTGCACTCATRTTTTTTGAGATTTTTGAAGTGATCATAGATTTGTTTTTCAACCTTTATACTGTATAGATTGGTGTGGGTGTCTTACACGATAATATAATTTTATTTATTTATGTCAAACAATTTTAAACATAATCTA